TAAATAAATTATTCTCTTCCAAGGCCCATATAAATATAGTTTTAATTGCATGCCAACTGTTACACCCAGAATTAGACAGCTCTGGTCCTTCTCTGCCAAGGGGAAGAGGTGTTCTGGAATATTCGAGTTGACATTTTTGTGGCTTTGGGGACACTTTGGGAGAGAGAGGAGGCAGACTTGTTTTAGATGAGTTTGTGGAAAGAGACCTTGCTTCTAGGTCAGACAGAATCCATGTCCAAATGTTTCCTAACAAGCCCAGTAACGATGCCAACCTTTTTATCTTTGCTTTTCCTTTGAACCCCCATGGTCCATTTGCACAAATGAAGCCACGGAGTGAGTCAGAGATTGCCCTCCTGGCTTCTTCCTGTGCTCAGTCTTCCTTAATTAGCAGAAACAGACCTCGTTTAGAAAAGATGTTTGTGCCCTGATGACGAAGTGCCTTCAAATAGTTGCCCTCTAAAGGAAAATGTAGGGCAGTCTTACAAATTAACTCGAGCACCAGGGTATATAGGCCAGGTGTGGAATTAGGTTGGCCCCAATAGAAGTGAGGTTAGGAGCCAGACAGGGATTTGAACACCCTGTCAGCACTCCCCCACCATTTCATCCCAACACAGCAACTGAGGGCTGGAGGCAGGAGCTTCCCGCTTTCATACTGGGAAGACAGAGAATAAGGATATGTGCCTCACTGATTTGCCTTTTAGATGTGGGATGCCTTTTAGAAAGTGGGTAGCAAACACAGTTGCTGCCCTTTCTCCAGTTCCTGGCAAGTGAAACCCATACTTTCAGCTCTGCTTTTCTCCTGTCCTGTTTTTCTTCTGTGGAATGATGAAGGCTGATGTACCAGGGTAGGTTTCTTGTGAGGCAAGAGGATAACACCGAACTCAAAACATAGTGATTTTTCTTAACAAGCAATTGCTAGAAAGCACTGGGTATCGAGTGTGGTGATAGATAGACATCAGGCATTCATGTCTAACTTTCTGAAAACATTCTTTATGCCCTGAGCTAAGCACCAGGTGGCTTTTAATCCTCATTTTATATTTTAAACAATTTTAAAAGCTGGTCTATTAAGAGGATTATTCAAGCAGTCTTGAAGGATTTCCTGTTTTCTTCAAACACCGGTTAAAATGCAGGTGCTTGGAGCTAGGAATGTCGCTCAATGGTTGAGTATGTACTTACCATGTAGAAGGCTCTGGATTTAATCCTTGCCACCAAAATAAACAAAGCATTTACTTAGACAAATCCAGAATGCTGACTACTTGCAATTCTTAATCTTGCCATTATAGTAATGTTCGGTTAATAGAATAATAATTTGAATTCTCCTTTGGGAGCACGTAGATTTTCATTTCTCTTTAATCAGCCCTTGTTCACGTTTACTGTGCCTTGAATTTTCTTTTTTTTTTTCCTGGTAGATCTGTTCTTCCGTGTTTCTGGGCATATAGAAGAAAATTTCACAAAATTGACCAAAGCTGCTTCTTATGTCTTGCCCAGTGTCACTGTATCAAAAAGTGTTATGATACTATTTTCTCTCTTGGTCACTTTAAATATCCTAACTCCCTGGTCAGTTATATCTCAGAGTCAGAAAGAGGTGGAATGAACTCGAAGCCTTAGAAATAGCAAGTTCTTGAGCTGATTCCAGACATGGTGGGTTCAGCCATGCAGTACTTCATTGGTAGGTCTAGCTATGCAATACTGCAGTGGTAGGTTTAGCCATGTAGGACAGCAACGGCGGAATCAGCATACAGTTCTGCTGTGGGTTTGCAGCAATGGGTTTATCTTTCTGTACATGTAGCTCTTTTATAGCTTCCCAGGGCACACCTATATGCTTGTTTCCCTCATGTTCACAGTTGCTCTTTCAGAAGGAATTGCAGCAAAGAAAGGTGTCAAGTATCCCTCCAACCAGCAGGCCCTGTCGCCTTTGATCCATTTGTCCACATAATCTTTCCCTGAGAACACATACGCACGCGCACACACGCACACATGTCTGGATGCATGTGTAACTCCTCTTTGACACATGTGGTTCATCAGTGTTCATGCACCCGCTTGTCCCACTCTATAGTGCAGTCTTGGTCATTGTTGTAAGTCAGTGCATCAGGCTGCTTTTTCTAAAAGCTAGTTTTCTTCCTTTGCTTGTTGCACATGAGTGTGATTTTTCACTCAATGTGTTTTCAATATTGTTAATTAATTATGCATAATCAGGGAAATTATTTTCATATGTGAAATAATATATTCAATATATTCACGCTTTTCTTGCCTTCTTCCCCACTCATTCTGATCACTTTCTTCCTAAACAGCTTCTCTTCCATTTTCATGTTTTTTTTTTTTTTTTTGCGGGGGGGGGGAATGGGAGTCCAGTTTTATTTCAGTATCTTAGAGGATCATGGGTGGAGGCATGCTTATAAGCCTACCAGTGTCTATAATAGTGGAGAAAGTGACTTCCCCCTTGTCAACCACTACCAATGTATAAATCCTTAAAGAGGTATAAGATATAGACAGATACAATTTCTCAGTGCTTGAATCTCTTTTTAATGAATAGAAACAAAACAAACCCAGAATTATAGATCGAATATTTCTCCTAGGTTCAAAATCTCAACCCCTAGAGTCTAAATCTCTGGAAATAGGGCTAATACAGAAGGAATTATTATAAAATGGGGCAGTAAGGATGGGGCCCAGATCCATTTTGTGTTAGTATCCTTTAAGATCAGACACTGAAAAACTCCCCTTAGTCACAAAACTTACACATCAAGTAAAGACTCAGCTAGGAAGAAAGCACTCATCAGAAATGGAATCAGCTAGCACATTGACATTTTTGTTTTTATTATTATTATTATTGTTGTTGTTGTTGTTGTTGTTGTTTCCAGAACTGTCTCTGGGATGTTGTTATAGCAACTGATTGGACTATGACAGGTGAATTCCATGGTGTTCCAAATTCCTTCTCTGTTGCATCCCTCCCTTTTTTGGGTTTTGACACATAAACAAAACAAAAAGGAGGAAGAGGGAAGGAGGAGAAGGAAGAGGAAAGAAAGGGGAAACGGATGTTGTCTGGAGATTTGTTTTCTTTTGAGCATGTTTGGCAGAAACTATGTTTCCAGGCCTAGTATAAATAAACACCAAATTAAGGTCAGACAGTCTCAATAGTTGTTGCTTTAAAGTTAGGAAGATATCTGATCTGAAGACCTTGGCAGATTCTTTTTTTAGTTCTGTTTCATGGACCCAGGAAAGAAAACAAAAGCCAGGATGAAGCAGTGTCTATCCTAGAACCAAGTAAGAGGGGTTGGGCTTTAATAGGTCTCATGTTGATCAATGACTTCACCTTTGTCCACCCAGAACACATGCCCACCCCTTTAGATGATATTCTGGGTGCTGGGATCCTAGAGTTCCCTGCCCATGTGGCCCCAGCTTTTTGAGAGTGATCAAACCACCACCGTTTGCATTTGGGGCCCTCAGGTGGGCATTTGTTGTAGAGGAGCTGTAGTGAGCAGAGAGGACCCATGGGGGATTCTCAGCAGTGCTCAGGATGCTCTTTTTAGTTTGAGACAGGATTAGGACTAGGCTGAGTTGAGTAAATGTCAATAGCTCAATATTGTCTCTAATAAGTGCTTTTCAATATTCTATAATTATTTAGCTTTGCTGGTTCAGTCCCAGTCCCCATGGGCTGTGTTAAAAATTAAAAAGAAAAACACCTGCACATTTAGCACCATTCTATAATAGAAATATGAAGCATTCTTAAGAGATGATTAATAGTGGTGCATAAAAGATTTCTGGGAAAAACAGATCATAGAGATTAAGGTAAGGAGTGACCGACAGGAAAAGTTCCTGCCAAAAGAACCAAGGAAAAGCTTGGGCAGTAAGAGACCTATCACAGTCTGGATCAGAAGACCCAGTAAGTGCAACATCTTAGAATACAGGTTAGGTTTGGTCTTCAGAATCTTGTGTTTGGAGCCTCTCATCCTTGGACGGAATGGTGGGAACTTTGATGCTACTGAATAGACTTGTGGCTGTCCAGGGATGGACCATGACTTGTTCCCAGTTTTTGCTGTTGGTCTAGTAGTGACCTTTGAAGTGAGTAAGAAGTGTAAGAGAGCTCCTGCGTCTGTGTGATGAAAACAGGAAGCCATCAACAGTCTTTGACCTTGACTCACAATTTACCCTCAGGCTCCGAATTAGCTTGTTTATTCTTCATAATTTAATGAGCTACTGCTCCATTTTGCAGGTGAAAAAACTAAAGTGCAAGGTGATTTATTAACTTTCCTGAGATGTTGTAACTCCTGTGGAAGAGTCAGAATCCTGTTGTCTCTACAGCAGTTCTGGTGTCTTCCCTTATTCTATCAGAATATGCTCTCACATGATGGGAAAGGCTCTGCTGAGGCAGCATCTGCAGACCTCTGCCATCTGCACAGCATAGATGAGCAGAGATGGCGCCTATCTACTGAGCACTTACTGTTTGTGGCTTGGTTTTGTTCTCAAGCATTCTTTAGATGGCCTTTTTCTGTGTGGAAATGAAGGCTTTGAGTAAATCATCTGCAGAGCTTTCATAGTTATGGGCAGAGCCACAGATTCAGTTTGATGCTTTGTGACTCCATAGGTTCTTAAAAATTTTATTTGTGTGTGTGAGATTGTGTGATACACGTGCTAACAGCTCACTCATGGAATCCAGAAGACAGTCAAGGGAAGTCAGATCTCTCATTCTGCCATTTGGGTTCCAGGGATTGGACCCAGATTATCAGGCCTGGCAGCAAGCACCCTTACCTCTGAGCTATCTGACTGGTCCCATAGACTCTTAAGAACACCACTATATTAGTTATCTTTTGCATTGTGGTGACAAAATACTTGCAAGAGTAGCTAGAGGGAAGATGAGCTTATTTTGACCCATAGTTAGAAGGGACAATCTGTCACCAAGAGAAAGGCATGACAATAGCATCAAGTGAATGATCACATTGCATCTACAGTCAGGAAGCCGAGAGTGATGCATGCTGGTTCTTTACTGTCTCTCTCCTTTTTGTTCCATCTGAGACTGAAGCATATACTAATTGGGATGAAACAGAAAAGATGAGCATGGCACCTATGCAAAGATGACACACAAATTCATGGTGCAGTCCACTTTTTTAAAGGGGTGATCACTTCCTTCCCATTTCCCACCAGTGGTGACGGCTGTATAGGTTATCAGGATGTGGCCATCTTGCTTCCTTGGGGAACCACCCCAGTTGGGAAACAGCAACATGAGGAGAGTGAAGATAGAAAAGAGGATAGATCCTTGATGACATCTTTGGTTGTTGTAATTATTATTGCTGGTTTGTTTGTTTGTTTTTGAGCCAGGTTCTCACTTTGTAGCGCTGGCTGGCCAGGAACTTTCTATTTAGACCAGGTCAGCCTTGAAGTCACTGAGATCCACTTGCCTCAAACTCCCAAGTGCTGGGCTTAATGGCATGCTCCACAGTGCCCAACTTGGTGACAGTTTTGGAACAACACATTATGTACTCTGAAGGCTCTTGTCTTAGGGATTCTAACAGCATCTCTGCTTCATGTGTCAGCCATTTCTGCTTGTCCTATGTGCCTGACAGGGCATAACTACACCAATTAGTACCATCAGTCTGCCATCACATCATTAGTACTTGATGACTGTCCACTTGTTCCAGACAGTGTTGAGCTTATTTGTGCATTATGTAATTCAGTCCTCACTACAGCCTATGTGTTTTTTCTTTTATTATTTCTGTTTTATACACAATGAAATTACAGCCCAATGGAGTTAATCTGTCGAAGGAGTCACAATGGGAAGTCACTGAACATCTGAAGTCCCAGACACTTAACTTTGTTTGCTTTTTGTTGTTTTTATTATTGATTCTTACAGTCCAACAGATGCTTCCATGTCTTTGTTTTGTTGATGAGAAACTTGCAGATTAAAGAGGTTAAGGTGTGCCCTGCAGTTGGTCAGTGGAGGGCACACACTGAGGCCTTTCTGGTTGCAGACCTGTGGCTCTTCTCAGACTGATGCCCCTACTTGCTGTCAGCTTTTACGTTAGCGCTTTCTTCTCCACCCCTTCCCTGTGCTGTTCCTCTCCTCCAGGCTTTGCTCTCTTCTTGTTGACTACTAATGCTCATGTATATTCACAAGATCCATAACCACCTCTGTATCACCTAGAAATAAGAATTGTGCTGGATAGTTTTATGTTAACTTGACACAGGCTAGAGTCATTAGAGAGGAGGGAACCTCAATTGAGAAAATGCTTCTTTAAGATGGAGCTGTACCCAAGGCTGTAGGGTATTTTATTAATTAGTGATTGATGGGGGAGGGACCAGTCCACTGAGGGTGGGGCCACCCCTGGGCTGCTGGTCCTGGGCTCTATAAGAAAGCAGACTGAGCAAACCATGAGGATCAAGCCAGTGAGCAGCATCCCTCCATGGCCTTTGCATCTGCTCCTATCACTTCCTTCAATGATGAACAGTGGTGTGGAAGTGTAAGCCAAATAAACCCTTTCCTCCCCAAGGTGTGTTGGTCATGGTGCTTCATCAGCACAATAGTAACCCTAACTAGAACAGGTATCCTGGCTTGACTCCTGCCTTTTGGCAATTTTAAACCTGTGATGAAAAGATGCAGACCTGAGCTGTGGCAGCCACCAAACAGGGAAACTCACACAATTCCTTTCCAGCTTGTTTCTGTCTACTGTGCCAAGCACTGACTGGAATGCTTCCCTGCATACAGCTCTTGGGCTGATACAGCTCAAACACTGCTCTTGTGTATAAATCAGATGGGGTGGGGAGAAGAAGGGGGCACCTCTACGTATTTAAGCCAAGGCAGAATTGAATATTGACAACATTTTGTTAGATTTTTAAATTTTATTTTCTATGTTTGAGTGTTTTGCCTGCATGTATGTCTGGGCATAACATGGGTGCCTGATGCCTACAGAGTTCAGAAGAGATTGTTCAGTTCCCTGGAATTAGAGTGACAGATAGCCTTGAGTTACCATATTTGTGCTGGGAATAGGCCATCTGGGAAAGGGTTCTTAACTGCTGAGCCATCTCTCCAGCCCCAGAATACTGAAGATGTAAATACACTGTCTACAAATCAGATCCATATGGGGAAAAGAAAGATGGAAAGACACATTGCTAACTTCAGTGATAGGGAGTGGGTCTAGAGCAGTGGTTCTCAACCTTCCTAATGCTGTAGCCCTTTAATACAGTTCCTCATGTTGTGGTGACCCCCAACCATAAAATATTTTCATTGCTACTTCATAACTGTAATTGTGCTACTGTTATGTAATCACAATGTAAATATCTGTTTTCTGATGGTCTTAGGTGACTCCTGTGAAAGGGTCATTTGACCCTCTGAAAGGGCTCTCAACCCACAGATTGAGAACCACTGATCTAGAGACTCAAATTCCTTTGCTGCCTCCTCTCCTGTAGGCTTCTTTCACTCGGGACCTTTGAGTTTTCTTCTGCCATGATCTCCCTTTCCTGTCTTCACACAGATCTGAGTGGATGACCTTCTTTTCCAGGTTTCAGTCTAAATCCTGCGCATTTCCCAGGAAGCATGAAGCCTTTTGAAATCCACCTGTTCACATAAGGCTCTTTCCCTAAAGTTAGTTGAGGCTCTTTTTCCTAAAGTTAGTTCCTCATTTAGGAGGTATGATGACTCAACTCCAACATGAACAATTGTGAAAACTGTTTCTACCCCTTCCCTAAACCCTTTAGGCTATGGTCTACTGACTGGACTTTGTAGCCACTGGCTCTTGAGGTGTCCTTGTTCATATTTTACTAGTCATTGTTACACAAGAAGATGGCACACCCTGGTGGAGGACAGCTAATGTTTTGTCTCACCTCCATCCTTCCTTCTTTCCCCTGGAGATATCACCTCAAATCGTTGAGTAGCTGGAGAAGGGCTTCCTACTAAACTTGACCATCAGTGTATTTCATCTCTCAAGTCATGTGATTTGCTGGAAAGTACTTATTCTGAGTATACCTTAAGCAAGTTCCAACATGAATCTACCTGGAACTGATGGGGCTTCAAAGAAGAAAGGGGAGGGGACCCAAATGGGAAAGAAAGAAAAAGTAGACTGCTGTTTGCAGAAGACATGGGTGTATCTCTGGAAAACTAACTGGAAATACGCCACCAAAACACAGGCCTAAACAAATTCAGCAATACTGGAAGGAACGTAATCAACATACAAGAGTCAGTGTCCTTTTATGAACTAAAACAGAACTCTCCACAAAAGGCACAAACGAAAAGTGCTATTTTAGTAACATTGGAAAAAAGAGAAAAACAAAACTAACAACAACAAAAATCCTGAGGATTGCATTCAACCAAGGAGGTAAACAGTCTGTAAACCCACACTATACAACTGTGATGAAATGAAACTCAAGACACAAATGGATAGTATAGCACATTCATGGATTGAGACAGTTGTTATTATTGAAATGCCCACATAGCTCATCACAATCTAGATAATTAGTGTGATCCCTATAACATTTCAGTATTTTCCACAGAAATAGGAAATAATCCTAAAATTCATATAAAACGCAAAAGACCCTGGATATCTAAGACAAACTTGATTAAAAAGAAGAAAGTTAAAGATCCTCTATGAAGCTATAGCAATCAAAGCAGCATGGCACAGCATGAAATTACACACATAGATCAATGGAGGAGAATAGAGAGCTGGGAATAAATTTGTGAGTTTACCATCAGCTGATCTTTAACAAAAGTGGCAAAGGTGTCAGTGACTATACATAAAGAAAGGATAGTCTGGGGTGGGGTGGGGGGGTGGAGAGATGGCTTAGCAGTTAACATGCACTGTTCTTGCAGAGGACTCAACGCTGGGTGGTTCACAGTAGCCTGTAACTTTAACTCCTGAATTTTCAGCCACCTCTGGCCTCCTCTGAAGGTACTGTACCCATGTGCACATAACCCCACCCAGACAAACACATAGAATTAAAGATTAAAAAAAAAAGGAGAAAAGGTAGTCTTATAAGTGGTCTTAAGACATCCATCTTGTGTGCAGAAGTCAACTTGAATGGATTAAATGTGTCTCTAAAATGTGAGGTTGGAAACTGTAAAATTATTAAAATATATAGGGGTAAGTGTCCTTGGCAATGATTGGCCTGGACAGTATTTTATGAGCATGACTTAAAAACAAGAGAAAAAGTAGAAATAGACTATATTTAACTTAAAATCTAAAGGCATTGCAAGCTGGTTGCAGTAGTGGACACCTGAAAGGGTCATGAGTTCAAGGGTCACGGAGCAAGAATCCAGCTCAACAAAAATTAAAAAAGAAATCATAAAATGCTAAGTATGTGATGTGGTGAGTTGATTAGTCTGACTTAGTAACTTAACATGTATATACATCAAAACATTCCATGCCATAATGCATACTTTTTTTAAAAAAAAATTTGCCAATTATACTATAATGAAGCTGTAGGGGGCAAAATGCTCTCCTTTTCTGGAGAGAAAATGTGTCTATATTTTCTCTAATTTTCTTGGGGAGGCAGAAGTCTACCAGTGTTCTGAAAACAGAGCCAAAATAAGTGAAATTCGATGAGCATTTAGCAAGAGAGAAGTGGATTTAGTTGTAACATCATTTGATCTGAATTATGGATCCAGCTATTCACTCTTGAAACGTTCATTTCCTGTAGACAATACATTTTTCTTTGCTTTTTCACTTATAGCGGGAGTCCTATCAACCAGAAACCAAAGCCTTAACAAGCAAAGTTCCCCAATCACTGTATTCTTTTTTTAATTAAAAAAATTATTTTTATTTTATGTACATTGGTATATGTCTGTGTGAGGGCGTCAGATCTTGGAGTTATAGACAGTTGTGAGGTGCCACGTAAGTGCTGGGAATTTAATCTGTGTCCTCTGAAGAGCAATCAGTGTTCTCAACCACTGAGCCATCTGGCCAGCCCCAATCACTTGTATTATGAGACCTGTGCTATGAGCTCATGCCTATTAAGGAAATAATGCTTGCCACCCAATAGCAATGGATGTTTCAGCTCCTTGGTACAGGAGGGTGAAGAGCCCAGCTTGTGACCTCGACAGCTTAGGCATTGCTTTGGATCCAACTGTTTTTGGTCCCTTCTGAGTGGACTGAGGGCATTTAGAACTTGTGACTATGCAGGAGGCTATTACAAGGTTGCATGTTTTCAGATAATAAAAGTTTATGATGAACATCTAACTTTGTGGCTGTGCCATGGGCTTTTGAATGGATGTGTGTACTCTATACTAGAGTGTTTAGGAGAAGTGAGAGACAAGCAAGGAAGAACACATTAAGAGAATTAAGCAATTGCTAACCAGAGGATGTAGCAACTTCAAAAAGTGGAAGCAGTACTTCTGGACATGACTCCTCCTCCTCTTCTCCCTCCCCCCCTTTCTCATTATTGTTTTGAATTTTGTTCTTATTTTGAGACATAATCTATAGTGACCTAGGCTGGCCTCACACTGGCTATGTATCTGAGGATGATATTGAACTCCTAATTCTGCCTTCAGCTCCCAAGTGGTGGGCCTTACAGGCATGTGGCACCATGCCTGGCCGAACTGCTGTCTGTGTTCTGCTCCCCTTCTTTTTGCTCTAGATTGAGTTGTCAATCTGTATAGCAGTCACTCCTGGCTGAACCCCTGGTTTGGCAGGAATTGGCCATCCATGTTGCCTGGAAGCCTCCTGCCTGTTTACTCTGGGAGGACATCCTGTGGCTCCAGCCTTATTAGACTTGACCTAGTGACCCAGAACATAGACCTGCACCTTCTATCTTTATTTGATCACCAGACCTTGCCATAAGAGATGAGATGGGATGAGGTTGAGGCTGCCTAGGGGTGCTAGTGCTGGTGGGTGACACAGGCTGGGGAAGCTCAAGGAGACATACTTTTCATTTGCTTTAACTGAAGGATGCAGGACAAAAATGAGTCAATTGTCAGCTGACCCTTGCTCTGCTAAGGCTCCAACCTTCAGTGAAATCCAAATCCCTCCTCTTCCCCTCTAAGCTCCCACCCTGGTTATGATCACACCATTGAACGTTTCTTGTGACTTCCTTAAACCACAACTGGGGCTTTGTGTGATGTGATGTTTTCAAGGGTCTGATGCACTCTGCCATGCTGTTCTCTAGGAGGGAAAAGCGATAGGAAGGACTTCTGAACTTCTCTGTTCGTTGTCTCTCGGGCCTGAAAACTGATACATTCCTTCAGTGTAAATGCCACCTCTTGAGAGGATAGTCTGTTAGTGGAAGATGTATGTAAAGTTCCAAGAAAGGTAATAATGCCCATAGGTTTCTCTTTAAACCAGATTCTTTCTGTTGCTGGGATAAACACCATGACCAGAAGCCATTTAGAGGCGGAAGGGTATATTTTAGCTTATGCTTCCAGGTGTCCTGTCCATTATTGAGGAAAGTTGGGGTAGGAACTCCAGGCAGGTGCTTAGCTAGATTTCTTACACAGTCCAGGCCCACAGGCCTATGGATGGGTCCTATCACATCAACCATTAATGGTCTCTCACATAAGTGATCATGGGACAATCAGTTGAGACTCTTCTCACATGATTCTAGGTTATGTCAAGTTGGTGACAAAATCTATCCAATGCAGGGTCTAGGGTGGAGGTGCCCCTGCAATAATGGAAAAGAGGGTAAATTTGCTTATTGCCACTAAATCATACACCTAACAATGGTGAGAACTGTTAAATGTTTTAATGCAGTGTGTTTTCCCACATTTTCTTAATGTTCAAGGAAAAAAAAAACTTTTAAAGGAACATTATCATCACTGTGTGGAGAGTTGGGGAGGGTGGGAGAATAGATTTCAGATGGCGCTTCATGTACCTCAGTTTTAACACACACGAACGGGCCCTCCTCCCACCAAGGTGTTGGGGCTCAAGACAGGTAAATAATTATTTTAAGGGATGTTACGTTACAGTTCTTTGGCTGTTGAAGCTCAATGATCCATGTTTATCTCCGAGGCATGATTTTACAAATCTCCTATTATCAAATCACCTCTCCCACACAGTGGTATAAAATCCAGGGTCCCGGGTTGTCCAGGATGGGGACGGGCGTGGCCAAGGCGGTTGTGACGCGGATACTTGGGGTCGCGAACCGTCGCCCGCTCCTGTCCCCATGGCGTCCGCCTCCCGCGCCCCGGAGAAGCTCCGGCAGATCCTGGTCCTCAACCCGCCCAAGGTCCTCAAGTTCAAAGGCCCCTTCACCTCTGTAGTCACCAGGCGTCTTAAATTGCGCAACCCGTCAGAGAGGAAAGTGTGCTTCAAGGTGAAGAGCACCAGCCCTTGCTGCTACTGCGTACGTCCCAGCAGCGGCGTCGTCGAGCCAGGCTGCACAGTGACTGTGGCCGCCATGCTGCAGCCCTTCTGCTATGACCCCAGCCAGGAAGTCAAGCACAAGTTCATGGTGCAGACAGTGTTTGCTCCCTCGGACACTTCGGATCTGGGGGCCGTGTGGAAGGAGGCAAACCCAAGTGAACTCATGGATTCGAAATTGAGGTGTGTGTTTGAAATACCTGAAGAAAGTGACAAGCAGGATGAAGGCTTGAGGCTGAGAAAGGCAGCCAGTCGCAACAAGCCTTGGCTTGCCTCTTCCATGTCCTTGAATCAGAGTCACACTCCGCCTCTTCCTGTTGTTCTGCTTGTGATTGGAGCAGTTTTCATTGGCTTCTTTCTGGGGAAATTCATCTTGTAGAATGAGGCAGGCACCGCAGTATTACCCCTTCCCCACAATTTGGACCAGAAAAAACATCTTTTTACCCACCATCTCATTGGAAGTATGACCTGCGGTGACCAACTTTATGTGTGTGTATAGTGTCACATAGGCTTCACATCTGATGATCTCTTGTGGTTGGAGGATGCAATTAAAAAAAAAAAAAAAAAAAGACACAACAAAATCAACCAACCAACCAACCAACCAACTGTTGGGCTACTGGACATTACATATTATCAGATCATTGCAAGTGAGTTGCGCATCCTGTGCATGGTAAAATGCAACAAGAATTGTTCTTTTGGTTTTAATAAGAGTTCAAGAATGGTTCAGCCTTGTAAATGTTTATTTTGCAAGTCCCTTTAGGTTTTACCTGTTGTGTTACTTCTTGAGATACAGTTTATTGAGATTTGCTCACCCGCTCGTTCAGGATGTGCCAAGAGGTGTTAAGTGGGGGAAATGGTATCTCTTATCACATACGCTAACAGTGCAAAATACCCCTATTCCTTCTAGGTAATTGTAGCCTGAGTTTTTCACCTTTACAAATCTACCCTGTGATATTTAACATTTTTTTTTTTAACCTGTTAATGGATTCTTTTCTTGGCACCTTGCGGTGTCTGTTGAGTCACTGGTGTGGTTAGAAGAAAAGTCCACTCTGGGAATTTTGAAATTAATATTGCGTGATTTTTCTCTTGCAATGAAGCACTTCCATATATTTCACTATTTGTAATTTAAGTCCCATTTATTGAAGAAAGAAATTGATAGGCTTTCAAGCTGTTCCGGTAGTCTAGACAACGGTAATTGATTTATTTTCCAGAAATATAAAATGATCATTGGAGAAGAGTACTGTATTGCAGTAGTTTGTGTATGTGTCATGCAGCTGTCTAGGGTCTAAGTTATTCCATTCCTGCCATTTTTTTCTTTCAATGTCTTCTCAAGGAAGACTTATTTGTCTAGATTATGAAGTACTTATTAACCAGCTTAATACTTCTATTACTTTGAAATGTATTTCATAATCACAATTAAAAATGGGGTATTTTTCTTTTTTTAACATTCAAAATGAGTTTCCATTATGGAAATTTAAAATCATTGAGCAAAGCCTGGGAATTTCCTTTGTGAAAAAGGACTTTTTCTTTGCAAGTTAAACTGTTAACGTTAATCATGTAAATCATGTATATTAAACAATATAAATGCTCACTCTGGGTTCTGATATTTTCTTGCACTTGGCCTTATGTCTTAATTTATTTTATCCACACTAAGAAAATTTTGGAATATGAGAAAATATATCACATTTTAAACTCACACTGGCCTAATGCTAGTGAATTTTTTCCCCCTTGAATTTAGATGTTGGTTTTGTAGAAGATGTTTTGTACCAGAGGGAGATTGGCTCTTGGGTTTTGATGTCGTACAACAAAATATGCCAGGCCAGATCTGTGAGTGCATTTTATGTAAGGGTGAAATGTTGCCAAGTATTTTGGTTGTCTTTTCATTTCAAATGTGTTGAGTTGGTCAGATTGTATGTGTTGTTAGTGTACTCTGTGGTATCTTTGGAACTTCTTGATTGTGTGTGAAAGTCCCTGAACACTACATGCCAAGGGCAGGCTCTTATTGTTGCTCTGTGCCAGATGTTACTGTTGCCTCCCTCCCCAATGATTGGAAAGGAAGATTAAAACAGTCTACATTCTCCATCCTGTAAGAACTGATTCTGTACTGATGGTCAGCATTCCCAGTGATAAGTATTGTTTGGTATTTTGTTTCTTTTAAGGAAAAATATTTAAACTTTCAAAAATGTAGAAAAGAGATCCCTTAGAATTCATCTTGTTTAGCCCTTTTATTTTATAGCCAGGTTCTGCGGGAGTAGGGGAGGTGGAATCTAAGTCCCTATGAGAGTAGAAGAGACTTTCCTGTGTTTTTATAGGAAGGGAGAGACAGAACTGAAAATAGAAATTTTATCTCCTGGTCTTCTTGTTTGCTCTTGTAATTTCATAGAAAAAAAATTCTGATTTGATAAATGGCTGAAATAATTAACAATACTTTTTATGAGGTGCGATTTTATTTATTTATTTATTTATTTATTTATTTATTTTCTGGGCATAGTAGTACTTGGCTGAAATTCTAACAATTGAAAAATAGAGGCAGGAGGGTCAGGAGTTCAAGATCATCCTCAACTACATTAGTGAATTCGAGATCAGCCTGAGTTGCTTGAGACCTTAGGGAGAGGGAGAAAAAGTGGGAGAGGAAGATTGGGGTGGGGGGAATCATATAGCCTAAGACTACACCAGGTTGATGTGTATATTTTGATGGTTAGTCTAGCTATATTTCTCATATTGATAATTGTCAAGTGCTGTTAAAATATGTTGTGTTTTAAGGTAGACAATTTATAAAATATGAAAAAATAAATAAGACATTGTAGTTGGTTGTTTTACTCTTTGACTCTTTCGGGGCCCTCCACCCAATTCCCAAATAATCACATGAAGGTTGGCTTGTTTCTAGCCAGTTTTTCTTAAATTATTCCATTTACCTTTTGCCTCTGAGCTTATCTTTCTCTATTTCTGTATGCCTTTCTTTACTTCTTACTCTGTAGCTGGCTGTGCAGCTAGGTAGCTGGCCCCTGGCACCCTCTCATCTTTCTCCCTTTCTCGATTCTCCATCTTTTCTTCTTTTTCTCCCTCTATTTATTCTCTGCCTGGCAGCCCCACCTAGCCTTTCTCCTGCCTAGCTATTGGCCTTTCAGATCTTTATTAGACCAGTCAGGTGTTTTGGGCAGGCAAAGTAGCACAGCTTCACAGAGTTAAACAAAAGCAAAGTAAAACAATGTAACACATCTTTGTATTATTAAACAAATACTCCACAGTATAAAGAATCTTAAATTAATATTCCACAACAGCATAGCTTCTGATTGTCCTATGTGCAGGGGTATCAGTTCCTAGTTCTTGGCTTATTTGTTGTTGCAGTCTAATTAGGGAAGCTAAATTTAGGGAGGGATACCTAAGAGCTTAGAGGTGGGGGTACTTTTGTTTCCCCTAATGAATGACCTTCTCCCCTCTCCCCTCTTTGCCTTGATTGTCACAAGCACTGGGCTAGTTTGGGAGACAACTGCAGTGACTGTAGTTCAGGCTTTATAATTCATTGCTCTCCAGGATTGTCAGTTTACAGCTTTATTAAGACAGGGTTCCCACAATTCTCGTTTATTGCAGGAAACGTGCATGGGTTGCAGTTTTCCTCAGAGACCAGCAGTGTTTTTCTGGATACTCTTTAGACTGCCTGCTGAGACCACAGCAAGGATACAAGTTTAGATTTGGGGACTGTTATTTTAAGACTGGCATTGATCAACCAAGGAGCGGACAGCACAGGCAGAAAAGATGTTGAAATGACAGGAAACGATTTAGAGTACAAGGAAGAGGAGAGGTTTAGCTTAGACAGTGGAAGCCCGGTTGATGTCTTTAAATGTTTAAACATCTGTCATGTGATTGGGTAAGAGCTCTTGTTTGAATTTTTCTAATGCCTAGACCAAGGCCAATAGGAAGAAGTTATAGAATGGCAGACTCCAAGACCATACATCAAGTTATGAGAAGTGATTTCCCTGGAAACAGAGTCCTCGATCACTCACATACCTAACCCAAGATGTGTTTATGCTAGAGCACAGTAGAAGTCCCTGAATTAAGGAGAACATTAACCCCACAGATTGCCTTTTGAAAAAATAAGAAATAGAAGTAACCTTAGCAATTATTATTGGAGTTTAGGAAACCGAGGTCCTGAGTAGTAATTTGATTTCTCTGATTCCCACTAATTTTGCAGAGGGGTCGATGGAGCCCACATTGCTAATCCATGTTCAATCATTCATGTTCCACCACACAGGCTGTACTCTCTAATAGCTCATGTGTGGTTCAACTTTTTTGACATTTTCCTCCCCCAAGGGCATCAGTCGAGTTAATGGGGAAAGGAAGAAAACTGAGCTGGAATGGTTCACTCCCTGCAAACCATTTACGGGAAACCAGTGCCATTTAGACTCTCCCTTTCCACCAATCGAATGAATCTTTTCATTGCAGAAAGAGGCACATCTTTCACTGATTGACATCAGCTGAGCGTTAATCTGTTCTCTACATAAGCTCCGACTTCATCTGATGGCCATCTCGGCTGAATATTGGTACATGGGTTAGAAACTCACTTCTGCATTGAGTCAGATGGGGAAAGGATTGATGAAAGTAGCAGAGCCACTCAGGAGAATCAAAACAAAACAAAAAATAAACAAACAACCCCCCCCAAAACCCTTCAGACATATTCTGAGATCGGCTGACTAAAAGACGTATTTGGCTCAAAAGGATGGACTGCTTGTGGGTTGATTGTAGACTTGGAGACCCTTGGGAGTCAGCGCTACATGTAGTCTGAAGCTGTCTTTACTGACACATCCTTCCTTGGTGCCAGCTAGATAGATTGGTCACTGAAGGGCCATTTGTGAAGTAGGAGCACCTCCATCACTATCCTTTCTAATTCCTCCAGGTGCGCTTCATGAACAAGAGTACCAGGATTTAAAATTCAAAGAAGCTTGGATCTAACTCTTAGGTTGGGAAGGTTGCTCAGTGGTGGAGAGAGCACTTGCTTAAGACCCCATAGGTTCGATCCCTACATAAAAAGACTTATTATTGCACCCAGTAAATTTTATTAAGAAGCCTAAATGGTAGAAGTAATCAAGTGCAATTATAATGGGGGAATTTTTTGTCACTATTTTTTTTTGTAAACTATGGTTTCTCCTCTGAAATTTCTCTCTCTCTCTCTCTCTAAAAAGAAGCTAACTTTTTTGTTGGTATCTAAAGTACTGTGTTTTATTATGGCATTTTTCATTCATGAAATATTTGTAAAGCCCAATTAAGCAATATTAAGGTTGATTGATTGGTCATAAGATTATAATGCTGTCTCTTACTGCTTCTTTTTCCTCTCCCTTCTCCTTTGCCATGTTTTCCCTGTCCTCAATTCCTCCCAGATCCCCCATCTCCCCACCAACTCAAGTCTACATCCTTTTTTTCTCTCATTGGAAAACA